AATTGTTGCCAGTTGTTATTGAAGCTTCAGCTTTGGGCATTCTGCTCTTGAAATCTCTCCAGATGTGGTTGAACATGTGGCTGATCGAATCATGGATCATCGTTTATTATTGTTGGTGCATTTTCTATTTGGTATATCTGCACTTTATTTTTAATCTGTTTTCCTACCTTGGTTTGTCATGTGATCTTTTTACCTGTCTGTGTTGTGTATCATGTCAATGCCTCAGCCTCTTCCACCACACCCCCACCAACCCTCTCCAGAGGGCTGAGATTGCTGAAGAAACAGAAGGGTACACAGCCGCGGCCTTGTGATGCTGTTGCATTCCTTGTGTATTTTGACAGTGTTTTCCTCTCAGCAAACTAAAACATCACCGTGTAACCTGCATTGGAAGTTGCAATGCTGTGTTCGTTTATTCCATTCTGGCTCACCATTTAAAAAACCCTGTATTGATTAGGAGAAGAATTCAGATTCATTTTAAAAGAAGAAAACATGTGGCACTGTCAGCTGCTTCCTCTGCCGTCGTTCTGGACCAAAGGTTTACAAAATACCTTTTCAGTGTCCTAATTTAGTGACTTGCAGCCGATATTTTTTTAACATAAATTATATACCCATGCCCTGCGGTCCTTTTTTTTTTTTTTTTTGGTTTGTTCTAATGAACCATGCAAATCAAACCTGGGGACACTAAGGATAATGGGACTGAAGAGTTTCACCCTGGACTGTCTCATTTTTCTAAAACAAATGAACAGTGTTATAATCCATTGCTGCCTCCCCATAGCTTACAAATTACTCCTTCATCAGACAAGTTGTTTTAATTCCATCTTAAACCCGTAGCTTGTGCCAAGCAGCGTAGTTATAACCTTTAACATAACAAGAGCCTTAATATTAGTCGTGAATGATAGGCATTGTAATCAAACACTGCTGACTGGGTGTGTTTGAGGAGTCTATATATGCTTTTATTTTACGATTATGATTTTATCTTCCAACGATTCTGAAAACAAGATAATGGAGATAAACATTTTATTTATTTGTATATATTAAGATATTTATTTATCTTATTTTTTTATTTATTTTTCTGTTGAATTGTATTTAAACTTCAAGACAGTCCACTGTTAAAGAGACATTTTAAAGTTCAGTAAATGTGTGCCGTTTCCAAAGTCAGAGTAATCCTGTTAAATAATCTTGATCTCAATATTGATCAAAACAATTGTGATTATGATTTTTTGCCATAAAGGAGCAGCCTTAATATAGGCTACAGTTTTAATGCATAGCCAATCGGAGAGCAGTATTTTCTGTCTCTGTTAAAGACTAGTTGTCGACTACAGTTTGTTATAAAGTTGGAAGTGTCGTTTCTGCTGTTGAAACAGGTGTGTGTGTGTGTGTGTGAGATAGACCAGGTTGTTTGCAGTGCGCCTGTGATATAATCTAATTAGCTTGACGCTAGCTCAACAAACAGCAGCTCTGGCTAATACGAGAGACTTTTTGGGGATTTCTGACAACAAGGCACGGGATTTGTTTCCTGCCTTTTCTGTCGCGCCTGGATCACAGCCTCCATCACTGGAATGTACTGAGCACCATTACAGATACTGGCGCCACGAGGCTGAGTCAGACAGGTCCACTGTCAGTGACGTGCTGCACGAAGTAGCGGCAGGAGTTGGCCTCTAGGTGGATGTTTGGATGATGAATTCTGCTGAGCTGGTCCTCATAGTCAGAAATTTAAAGTTGGAGGGGCCAGAGGTCACCATTAATTGAGCAGTGTCAAAGGTTAGAGGGTGTGTGCAACTAGAACATTCTCAAAACCATACAAACCTGCACGTGTGTGTACACGCATGAGCACGCATGCACAGTAAAAGCCTGAGGGAAGAGTAAGTGTGAAGGCGGTGTAGTGCAGCTCTTACATAAGACTAAAGAGCAGCAACTTACTGAGCACAGAGAGTTTCCATTTGTTTGGAAAGAAGCTGTTCGACCTGCAGACCCTGTGTGTGTGTTTGTGTGTGTGAAGAGAATGGAGTCTACACAAGAGCAGAGTGGTTTGTTACTGCATGGATTTCATTTCTTTTGTGTGTGTAGATGTTGTTGTTTGTGTTGATATCAGACTGTGCAGGATTGAACGTTTGTAGATGTGTGACTGGTCCTCCTTAGTGGACTCGTCTTATTAGTGGATCCTTGAACACAGCAGTAACTTTGAGTGGGTTCAGTTTTATGTATTGAAGTTTTTTGCTGTTGTTGACCTCAGTTCAGTTTGTCAGTTGTGAGGAGAAGAAGAGCAATGCTCGACCTTTCTTGTTAACTCTCCCACTTTTTTATAAAAATGTCTCTAATTCCATCAACAGTGACGTGTAAACCTGAATTTCTTTCCGTACCAGATATGTCACTTGACAGGTACTGACTGTAGCTGCAGGATCAGCCTGTGGCTTAGTTTGTAGTAACAGTAACACCCCCCCATCCCACCCCCCAAAAGACTTTCCTGGTTGACTAGTCATTGTCAGTTCAAGCCATTAATTGACTATTCAATGCATGTTTATGATATTCATCTGGTTATTTAAGTTGTGTTGCATCAGAAAACAGTTTGAGTGTGAGGCTGAGAAAGAAGTAACACTGTTAACTCTGCTACGTTACAGGGAAATACAAAAACGGTAATAGTGATCCTTTTAAAATATGAATTTTCCAAGCAACTGTTAACAACACCGGCAGAAGCTGTAATGACTGAACATGTCAGGAGAACATTAGCGCGAGCAGTCATCCTAAGTGGCTAACTACTGTTTCAAATGAGGAGGCATGTTGGAGGTCGATGATGATACATTGCTTGGAAATGATTTTGGATTTCCTGCCTGACATTATCAAACTGTTTGTGTGTTTTTGCTGTTTAAATGTAGATTATTATATGACTATTAAAAACGTATGTCCGGTTACACTAACACTGTTAGACCAGGTTATAATACTGGAATACTCTGATTCCCGCCTTGAACATGCTGCTAAAACGGTTTCCTGACATGAGGTTTTTATTGTAAGGACTTAATCTCCTGTGGTTCTCTCTCCTCCTTCTGTCAGCTTATTTCAGCATATGGACACCAACACCATGGTTTATATTCCAACAGAACGCTGTAATAACAGTTTAGATGAGTTTGTTTGATAGAAAAAGAAGTAATTACTCTCACTGAAATACTTAGACACAGTATTATACAACTTCAAGCTGTATTTTCTGCATTTTCCAGTTTCTGTTTAAACTCTGATGGAGCGTGTTAGACAGTTTGTTTTATTTTTAAACTGTTTGAACTTAGTTTTTCAGATTGTGTGATCCACAGAGACAGAGATCTGGTTCCTAGTGTTCATTGTTAGTCACATTGTGAGTCAAATTCTTCGTGTGGGTTAAGACGTAAAAAGTTTTGTCAGTTTCTTCAAAGATGTAAATTCTTTAGTGTCATGTGAGTCTCAGTCTGACTGGTTTATTTGTGGTCTCTCACATCACAAATGATCCTCTTTATTTCAGATGTGAAAAATTGAAATTCTAAAACAACTGTAAATATTCTTCTTGCTCAGATCAGTTCAGTCACAGCTCAGAACGACAGCCTGGCTGTTACTGACTCTGACCATGAATCACATTACATTTACTAATTAACCTACATTATGAAGCGGGCTGCTCCAGAACACATGTAGGTCAGGACTGTAGCTCATTTCATCCCTGTTCTGAGTCAGTGGAAAGATGTCGACTCATGTTTGAGTTCAGTGTCCCTTTTAAATTTGTAATACTGTGATATAAAAAACAAAACAGTCCTCGCTCCTGTTCTAATCACAAAGTACTTTGACAAATAACTGAACAACACACACGGCTCCTTTTTGCTTCACACCGTGTCAAACAACTTGATTTGACAGAGAGGGACTGAAAAAATGATCCTTGTCATTTTCATTTGCACCTTTTTTCCAAACGTGGGGCCTAAAAATAAAATGGTACGCAGCAGAAACTTTTAATGGTTCAGTCATACTGAGAACACGTTTGTCTTCCGTCTAACAAAGTTCGGTGAGTTCAGGAAAAGATATTAGTGATCAAACATGGCTTCTCTGAGGCTATAAAAATGAAATGTATCAAGCTGCAGTAACTTATTAATTCTTTAATTCCATTCTTATGATTTTATCAATCCTGAGCTAAAGAGAAATAATATTTGCAAATGAAATAAGCAGAACATTCAAACATGGAAATGACAACAGCTAATCATTTCAGCTCTGTGGTTAAGGCACAGTAGCTACTGATGTGCAAGCTAACAATTATAAAGGTAGGAAACCAAAAGTCACTTATTCCATACAGTTAGTGATACAGACAATGGATACATTAGTTCCTGTGACAGAAGATCATTTTTTAGTCAGTGGTAATATTCAAACTTCACTGTTTACTTCCTTTTTTTGAAGTGGCTTCAGTGTTTGGCTCAACTTCACACACTTCTTCTAATTAAAAAAACAAAAATCCACCAGTTTCCGTGACACATGGACACAAAGAAATCTGATCTGACCCAGATTCTTTCATGGAGTTTATCTTTGCTCTCATGAAGTAGTGTAGCTTCCCACTTCACTGTTCTCTGTTAACATGGTCCAACCTCACTGTCTCCATCCCGCTTTGATACTTTGATATAAAAACTGCAGAGACTCCTGACATGAACCCAGCAAATACACACTGAAGGTTGAACCGTGTTCTTGTTGACACAGAGCTGTAAAGGACATTATAGAAAAACATGACTTTATAATACCCCAGATCAGGCCATGGAAAGGGGGCGGGGCTTCAAGGCAGGCTGGCAGTGATGTTGATGGCTCTGCTCCTCTCTCTCTGTGCGCTGTGTCAGGGCCAGCTGCTCTAACAGCATTAAAAATAGCTGTCTCTGCCCTCCAGAGCCATATTGGGCTCATAGAAAAAAAAAAAGTGACAGGGAGGATGACGGACAGATGAGCAGGAAGAGGAGAACCAGTGGTTAGACAGAGAGGGGAGGGACAGACGGAGACAGAGGAAACAAGCTGCTCTCGTCTCTCAGCTGGGACTGCATGCTGTCTTTGTGGCCCGTTCACTTGTTGTTTGGTTAGTTGTTGAAGCCAGGCTGTCGGTCGGCAGGGATGGGTGATCCAGCGACCCTGGTGGAGTCTGCCACCCCCGCTGTCATCACAGCGATCCCCACGGTCGTTGCCGGAGAAACTCAAGGTGAGGAGGTGTCTGTTCCAGGGCTGCGAAAGGACAAAGCAGTGTGGGAGGTCATTGTGTGGGAGTGTTGTGGGGCTGCAGGGTGAAGGACTGAGAGCTGGATCAGGCTAAAAGTCAACATCTCACTGATCTCAGAACAGTTACAGCTTCCAGAAGCTCCAGTGTTTTTGTCCCAGAGACATGATCTCAACATTGTTTGTTCATCTTCTGTCTTGTTAGTGGGTGTTCTGTCAGTTGTGCATAAACACATCCTGAATTATAAACACATAATATTGTTGCAGTATTTTAATGGAGATATGTAGCAGTGGTGGTTTTTAAGAGATTCTAAGAGCTTGCTAGACATGTCATCTCAGCATTTTAACTTGAATTAGTACATGTTGCTGGTCGGAGTGTCTTTGACTCAGATTGATGGTCACTTCAGATTAATCCTGAACAGAGTTAATGCAACATGTCATATTCCCTTGCCTTCAGGATCTGTGCTTTGACAGACCAAATACTGAAACACTGAGACGAAGCTGATGTTTTATTCTCTCAGCTGACTCTGGGTCAGAAAGCAAACAGGAGGACTCTGATCAAACTCTGGTCTCAATATTGAATATTGAGGGTATCAATTGATTTGATCATGCTTGTGTTCAGAGTTAACACTACATGTATGTCTTGGCGAGTGCTTACAAGGTCTATTGAAATTGTCTGTGTGAGTGCTTTGAACTGTGCTCTTTTGAGTGTGTGTCTGAGATTTGACCTTGCACCATGAAGTGGACTTTAACACCTGTTCATTCTCTCTGCCACTATTTTCTCCCATCATGCATTGTGGGATGTCATCGGCACCCCCGGAATAGCTTGTTGAATGTCTCTGCTCAGAGCCAGGTCTGAGGGATTAGAGCAGATACAACAGAGGACACACGATTACTCACAGATTTGTCAAGTTTCTATAGCAAAAAAATCTAAATTATAACATCTCAGTGTCTCGATGCTCCTGTGTAGTTTGTGTAGATCTGTCCATTTCTCTAATCACAGCTGGGTCTCTACTCAGAGTCCTTGTGGGAGGTGGGAGTGGATCTAAAATGAAGGTGAGGAGGGGTGATGTGATAATGTGGGAGTGATGGGAGCAGATAGAGCCCAGCTGAAACCAGAACAATCCAGAATGATCCGTCTAAATGACACAGTTGACTCTTCAGCTCTGGCAACAGTCACTGTAACAGCTCGACATCTGGCTGCTAACCCAACTTGCATGGTTAAGTGTTCCATTAGAAACTGTCTGAATGGAGCTGGCTCATTATAATTTATGTTGCCTCCAGTTGTGCGGTGTATTTACATCTGTCTGAAGCCAGTCTTAAGTTCTAGATGAAGAGCTCTGTTAGGTTTAAAATGTGTGTGGATGGGTTTAACTGGTATTACTGTGCCTTGAGTGAAACATGTCAAATCCACTCCTTGACACCATGTTCTGTTGTCGTGTTGCAGATGGAGCTAAAACCCAATCAGCCAATAAGAATGGGAAGAAGGCCGACTCCGGGTCCAGCAGCAGCTTCTTCACCTGGTTCATCGTCCTGGCCCTGCTGGGTGTCTGGACCTCTGTAGCCGTGGTCTACTTTGACCTGGTTGACTATCAGGGAGTTCTGGGTGAGTACACACACATCCCTCTGCTTTAAACAGCAGCTCAATGGGTTCCATCTGTGTTCTATGTGTATCTACTATCTCATGCACCTGGCTGGAAAGGTGTGACTCTCATCATGCTCATATATCACCTGCCCACAAACACAACACCTGTCATCTAAAGCAAACTCCAACCCTGAATAAGAACCAGTCTGACCCTGATATTCATCACTCACAACACTACAGTCACATCAGCAGTCATTACTAACCTGACATGAGTCACCCTCAGTCCTCTGTCCTCCTTTAATTGTTCCATTTTCTGATCAACACTCACTTTAAACCAGATACTGAAGGAAACAGGAAGCATATCAGAATAAGTCAAATCTTGTAAAAGCAAACTTGTACGGAAGCCGTGACAGGCCGTACTTGCAAATATTTTTTTATCCCGTTATCCCAAGATAACAAAGCTTATCCCGAGATAATGAGCAATTATCTTATCACAATACTTATACACACTACACACAACGCATCAGAGAATATTTCAATCGAGCAGAAATCACACTCTGCCTTTTTCATACAAAATCATTTTCAGATCAGTCCTCATCAGCTAACGAGTTACTATGGATTGTTGCTAAGGAGCAGTGTTACTGTGACTTAGTGTATGAGGTTCAGTCTAAATCATTTTCTCCTAAACATATCTTGTCATCTCAGGATAACAAAGAATCGTTTTCTCCTGATAATGTCTCGTTATCTTTGGGTAGCAAGCTTTATCTTGAGATAATGGGATGAAAAAATAATTGCATTTAATATAAATATTACCAGTGTTGTCCTGCCTCTGATTATGTAGTAAGACCTTTGATAAACTCAGAGCATATACACATTATAGTTTGTGTACCATACGTCTGTCACAGTTGATAGTAACAGTAAGATGATTACATTTACTACAGCACCATGAAGGACATGCATTTAACGCACCAAACAACTGGCTACTGACCAATGATTGTATATAAAGATGGATGACGTGTCTCCAGTTCCTCCCACTGCAGTGTTTCCTCTACTATTTCCTTGTTGGGGGTCAGTCACAGCTGTCAGTCATGACACACACACAACATCAAATAACTAATTAAAACTAAACTTATCAGGCAGATGATGAAGAATAACCTAAACGGACAGAAACCATGTTTGGGAAAGCTTTACCAACCACGCAACATTGAGGGGGCGGGGCTTATGACTTGTCATGTCGTCCATCTTTATATACAGCCATTGGTTCAGACTGATGCAGTCATCGGTCTGTAGCATGGGGACCACAAAGCCTGCCTGTTAACAGTTGAAGTTTCCTGTTCGCTGCATGTCTTTGTCACTAATCTGCATCCCTCATGATTCATGTTGAACCTTCTGTGTATCTGTTATATTAATGTATGAATTATGAATCTGTTTTATCTTTACTCTTGCTGTTGTTCCAACATGTATGTTTTGTGTTTTGCATGCAGACAAGGCTAAGGGCTTACAAATTAACCTGTCTGAGGCCTTGCAAGGTAAAAATCAGACGCACATTTCTCTTGCACCCAGTGTTAACATGAATGATTGTTGTCATGTGTTGTCATTGTAGTGCTTTTCAGACATTTCCCCCACACACTCCTCTCAGAGACCTGAGTCTGAAAGAGTTGAGGCTTTAAATTCTGCAGATGTATCAGTAGAAGATGCTGCATACAGACCTGTTTGTTTTCTGGTCCTTCTGAAAAATACACATTAAAGCTTTTAAGATATTTCTATTTGTGTTGTAATAGAATATGTGGTAAACAAAGTCAATATATTCTATTTATAATGACCTAGACTTTAATGGATGAAACTCATCATAAGTCACCATGACAATGTTTATTTGACACTTAGTTTACTTACATTAAAGGAAACAGAAGGGGCCATCAGGCTGTCATCCTCCCTGTTCAGTGAATAATCCCCTCCACTGCTCTGATCTGGAGAACTCTTTCTCTGTTCTCAGCTGGGTCAGATCTCAGGTCTCTGTCTAACTCCTGTCCTATCTCTCCACTGTGGCTGCTAGACCGTCCCCAGCGACTAGGGCTGGGTGATATGGCCAAAACTGTTATGATAAAAAAAAATTTCCATATCAGTCGATATCTATATTTATCATGATAAATTCCACGTTATTTCTTTCAGGTTTAAAGGCTGATTTTTACTTCTGAGTGAAAGTTGAAGAAATCAGACAATTGTGGTTTTAAACAGTTTTTAGTCAGAACATGACAAACGCTTGCCAAGCAGCAGAACATTTAAAAACTCTGAGGTACATATGTATATGATAAAATATGCATGATTAAAATCCAAATCCTTTCCAGTCCTTTTTACTCATAAAGTGAATAGAAAATGAAGTTGTGCAGTGTGATACAGCACACATGTAACATCATCAGACTGCAAAAAAATAAAAAAATATAGACAAAGAAGATTTGCACTGGGTACTGGCCTCGCGCTCGTCAAGGGTCCACAAGCCTACCTTTCACCATGCATCTTTACCTGCACAATGCCTAAGACCTCTATTCTTGCGACATGATTGGCTGTTCGTGATTCATTTGTGGGCATACTATTAGCATGGAAATTGATTATATTGAACATTTATCGAAAATTTTTAATGTTTCTATCGAGGAAACTAATTTTGCAATAATTATTGCTATTGTTTTATCACCCAGCGCTACCAGTGACCCAGTTAAACCACCACTCTAGATTTAGAACACCAAGTAGAGTTCATCACAATAACACAGGCAGCTGCCTCTTTTCCCTCAAATATCATTGCCACTCCAGCATCATGGTGTTACTACTGTATGTTGTATTGCCCCTTTCACCACTGACTCCTGCCACTTCCTGTTTATCCATCTAGTCTTAGGCTACGTCCACACTTATACGTTTTCATTTCAAAATGGTGTTTTCAAAACATTGATCTCTGTCCAGATGACCATTTTAACTCCAGATCAGAGATAATCTCAGTCCAGACTAACACACCTGAAAACACATACATACATACATGACCATTCATGTACGTAGGTGTGTGTGAGCCGGTGTAAACAGGAAGTAGTTTGTCTACTCTGCAGTTGGTTAGTTGTAGAAAATACTTTGAACATGGAACAGCAAAGACAGCTGCAGTGTTAAAATACAGAGTTAAAGTGAACGACAGCTGCTAGCAAAGACAAGGTCAGTAACACTGTAATTCATTATCATGTTGTATTCACCACTGGTAGTCCAGGCTGATGAGAGCCAATCAGGAGAGACCGTGGGAGTCTACGTCATCGTTTCCAAAGGTCTCAGTTTCACAACACAAACCCAGAGTTTTCAAAATAAAACACAACCCCATAGTTTTCAAAATAAAACAGGTCTAGCAGAGTTTCTGAAAGTCTGTTTTAGGGGCTGAAAACTGTGGAGTAGTGTGGACGGGAGGTGAAAACGTAGCAGAAGAGATGCATTTTAAAACTAAAAAGTAATAATGTGGACGTAGCCTTATTGTTTCCCTTATTCCTCCGTGTTTAAAGAAATTCATCAAGCAGTTGGCTGACTGTGAGTTTGGCTGAAGTTTCCAACTTAATTTGGGTAAAAACCATCAAAGAGCCACAAGCTCCAGGTCAAAGGTCAGACCTGGTCTCCCACAGGCTGGGTGAATTTCTTTTTAAGGGATGTTTTCACATTTTTTTTCAAGTCTGTCTTGAAACATGTCAAAATGTGGCACTGTAGTCATTCCTCCTGTTCATACTGATGCAACCACGGCTCTGAATAAAAACGGATTCTATGTAAATACTCATTTTTCTAAGGCTACTGACGCTTCATATTAGCCTCAATGGGACAGTATGTATTTTTTAGGTTTGGGCCAATATTCAACTGTATAGATAAAAAATTGGGACAAAAACAAGTGACAACAAATTGTTTTTATGCAAAACAAGGACTGTAGATCTTGTCCCCCATCACTTCCATTGGAACTGCATCTAAAAGGGATGAACATGAGAGACAACTACAGTCATCAAAAGTTTGAATGTACATAGGCATATATGAATATTGTATTGGGATAGACTTGAAGAGCCTCATCCTTTGTTTTCTGTCTGTGCTGAATGATGCGTGTAGATGTACAGTTATAAACAGTGTGTGTCGGTGACTCTGTAAGACCTCTGCGTGTGTCTTGCTGCTGCAGGTAAACTGGTGGCCTACGACACAGATGGAGATGGTGACTTTGATGTGGAGGATGCTAAAGTTCTGCTAGGCAAGTTGATTCATCTCTACTTTTACTAATGTTACCTATCAGTGTCCTGCAGAAAATGATAGGACTCCACTGATAAACATAAACCTTTACTGTGTCATCAGGGACCTGGTTTCCCACAGTCATGACACAGTCTGATTCATTTCTGCAGACCACTGATCATGTGTGTTTTTATGCTTGTTTATCATAAGTGTAATAAGTGGCATTTGGGTTTCTTTTGCATGGCTGACATTCATATACAGCTGATCGTTACCATAGAAACATCATCAATGACACAGCAAAAAAAATGCCGAGCTCCCCAAACACTTAGGACTGAGGTACCTCTCCAAGGTTTAGTGTCTCTTTAAATGTTCCTACATCAAAGGAGTATGTTTTATTTATTTATTATTTTTAAAAAAATTTTTTTAATATTAATCTAAGATTCTCAAAGTCCCTGAAGCTTCAGTCCCAGGTAGGTGCTCTGGATCAGGGCTCTAACTAACCTCCTATTAATGATGGAATTAATACAGTTCATCAGGATCACAGGTTGTTTAATGAATCTTTAACCATAGGTAAACTGAACTGACCCTCTTTACTTGCACCACTACATTGATTTCCTTTGGCAGTTTTCTTCTGCTCTCCTGCTACCATTGAGCTGACCTCAAGCTCTGTGTAGTAGTGGTTCAGTTTTCTGGAGCGTCTCTCCTGTGTGATGCTCAAACATTAAAGACAGAGTACGACCACAAATCTCATAAGTGCGACTAAAATATTTTCATTGGTTGCACCAGGACACCTGACATTTAGCAGGTCAGCCTCTGTGTGTGTGTAGACCCGCCCCTTACTCTGCCTCTGTTAGGCTGCAACAGTGATTTTCTTTGCTACATTTATATTCTGCTCCTCGAGTGACCCCACAACCTTAAAACATACGTAAATTAAAATGAAGAGAACTGTGCCCGTTGTGTCTGTCCCCCGGCCCTGAGGCCCAGCCCATCATCGGAGGTAACTGTTCCAATCTGAAATCAGTTTTTTATGTTTTATTTGTTTTTCTGCTTAATTGTATTTAGAGTTCTTATTAAAGTTTTTTTTGTTTGTTTGTTTTTTTTTTATATAAAGTTCACTAAATGCAAAGTGTTTCCAAAATCAATGAGTAATTGTGTTAAATTAATCCTGATCTCAATATTGATCAAAATAATCTTCATTATGATTTTTGCCATAATCGAGCAGCCCTAATGTATTTACAGTAGTGCTGACATCTTGTACCACAGATGTGCTCAAATAGAAGAGTCCAGATGTTGACCTTGGTATGATGAGGTCTATGCAGCACCTGAGAGCCCATTTAACAGCTGGCTTTTCTCTGGCTCTAAAATCAGACAGGCACAAGTTAAAGTTTGTCTTTGTTGACGTTTTTACATGGAGGCCTGTCGGAATCAAAAGACGCTGTTTGTCTTCATCTCAATCTTTGGATGGCAGACTCCTCTTGTGAACCAACAGGAAAAGCGTTCACTCATGATAGCAGCATTAAGGAAAAGAACATATCTTTGCACACAGAAAATCTTTGCTCTGTTTCCGTTCTAAAGTATTTTGACTCTTGGAGCTGAGTTCATCCTTCAGAGAGGTGCTTCTATCTTTGCCCTGCCCACCTTCAGCCTTTCCACCATCCATGTCTCTGTACTTCACATTAATTCACTCAAATTAGTTTTACTAACAAGCTGCCAGCTGAACTTTGTTTTCTTCCTGGCATAGTGCATGCTCTCCTACATACGCTGTACTTCTCTTGCCCTGTATTTGATCCTTGTGTTTCAGCCCACCTCTCTGTAACACTGTCTTTACTTGTTTTGTGTACAACCAAAGAAGCTCATGAGGTTATGCAGACATAAATCTATCCATGTTAGAGTGCTGTACAAGCTGCCATTTTGCTTCACAATGTAAAGCAATACGACCTCCAAACATCTTCAACACACTTTGAGTTGTTTACCACTATTACAAGAATACGCCTACTCCAGTTTTTATTGCTGTCTCCACTCACCCTCTATACGGTGGAGTAAGGATGTCCTCCCATGGTCTTAAGTCATGACATAATTATGACGCAATGGATAAAGTTGTAACATTTGCCTTCTTAAACATGACATCCAGTGGATATTCTCATGTCCCTACCTGCATTTGTGTTTGACAGAGGATGTTATAAATCCTTTGATATTATAGTATAGTTTTATCTAGGGCTTCACGATATGCAAAAAAATCAGATTGGAATTATATTGGCAGATATTGTGATTTTAGTGATTTCAGTTGGAATGGTCGTTTTTATATTTCCTTTTCACTGAAAAAAATAAAAATGATGTGATTTTTGTTGGTCTTTTACCAAACAAACATGTTTCCTTTACGTCTTGAGAATATGATTTGTTGGCTGGGGCGTCTCTGTAGCAACACAACGCTTATAGTGCTGACAATGCACAACAATGTGACACATTTTACCTTTTTATCAAAAAAATTGCAGCTCCTGCGATTTGGGTATTACACTTTGCCATATTGGGATTTCGATCATATTGCTATTAATTATGCAGCCCCAGTTTTATCTGTGCTAAACACAAGCTTTTATCTGAAAGTATGATTTTTAAAAGGTAATGTACTAATGTACCAGTTAAACTGGTACATTAGTACATTACCTTTGCACCACTTTGCATATCTAAACTGTTTAGATATTCTAATATTAAATGGCAAATCAACCACATAAGACTTGCAACACTGCTGATATCCGAGTTCAAATTTCCTTAAGTCCAACATTCAGCTTGGACCAATATTTAATCTCACCATATACAATATTTTTCATGTCCGATTTATAAACCCTTCTTTTGCCATTATGTATTATCTAAAAAAACAAAAACAAAACTGAAGCATAAAATACAACAATAAAATTATTATGAAACTACCACCACAGTGATATTATCGTGATATTAAATTTTAGATACCACCCAGCCTATCTAATGCTTCTTTCATTTTGCTCAATGAACTTTTCTAGTGTCAACATTAAATCTCCATATAGTATAAAGGCAGATGTCGATGTGTAGTTTGATTATAAAGCAGGTCTAGGTTCTATATTAATACTGTGAAAGTATCAAAGCCTCAGTCCACAGAGAAATGCACACAGCCTGTATTCAGAAACTGAGCCTTAAAACCAGCTGTCAGGACTTCTGGAACTTTGTGATGTCACAACAAAGCAGTCACCGCTCTAAGCCCCGCCCCAAGCCCCGCCCAGGCTCAGAGCCTCCTCTCTTCTGATTGGCTCACCTACCTGTTACTAGAGCTCCAGAGAGAAGCCTGAGAGAGGAAATGAAAACTACACTGAGATGGTTTTTGAACCACAAACATATCTTCTTATGGATCACACTTCAAATAAAACACAGGAGGAGTTTCAAATATGGAAACCGCTTCAGTTTTTCCTCTTTTTTTCTCTGTCTTTCTGTGTATAGAGGCTGTCTACACATGATAAGCAGTTTGAACTGAACTCTCTGACTGTGGTCCACAGTGCAAAGAGCTCAGGACAACACTGATTTGGTGATTTAGAAATTCAGCCCTGCAATGTGGTTCAGGGTCATCACTGTCTAAAGGCTGAAGTCATGTTGTTGATCATGAGTAGACAGCCCAGCTCCAATTGCTGTTGATAGAGTCTGAGTAGAACCCTTGCTGCCTAATCTACGCTTAAAACTTCTCTTACCTTCTCCTCTTGTTTCCTTCCCTCCCTCTCTTGTCTCCTCTGCTCTTAACCCTGTTTCATTCTTGCATTACATCTTGTTTTCTTCATATGATTTCACCTTTCTTTCCTCATACCTTTTTTATTAGCTTTTTCACAACTTCCTTTCCTCACACTGCTCGTGTTCCATTTCCACACACTGTCTTCCCAATCTCCCCCTCCATCCTCCCATGCCTCCCCCTTCCCTCCCCCCGCTCTTGTTTACATAGGCTTGACCAGTGAGGGCGATGGTCAGGGTGAATCCGAGGTTCTGGATTGGTTAGAAGAAGTGGAGGAGGGTGGCTCTGATTGGTTTAACAGTTTCGTCACTTTCCTGTATGGTCTGATAAACCCTCTGGAGCCCGTGGAGGATGAGGAGCTTGGCATCTCGGGAGAAGTCGTGGGAGTGCATGAAGAGGATGAGGACGAGGAGGATGAGAGGGGAGTCAGAAGAAGAGGAGCAAAGGATGATGGGAATCAGGGGCAGAAGATTGTTATAGTCGGCCTCCATAATCAATAGCCTCAGGCTAACTACGGCAGCCGATTATTCTCTAATGCAGTTTTCAACCGAAGGGCCTCAGTATCCAACAGCCTCAGCTACAATTTCAGGAAGTGAAAATACTCTTCTGCAGCATTTTCTCTCCTTTTGCAGGTTTTGGATGTGAATATTTCTGTGGGCCCCACCTTTCCCAGGTTTCACCTCCTGTAATCCACAAACAGGCTTCACTCAGCAGAGTTTTGAAAGTGAAATCCTGTTGGAGTTTTCTATGACGTCATTTCCTCTGCTGTGACATGGACGTGATACTCAGGAACACTTTTATAATCCTCTCTTAAACCTTTTTTAGAATCTATTAATACATAATTTTCTGCACAAACCTGATGGCAGCTGCCAGCAAAACTGAACAACACAATGCAAAGAAGAGTTGCACTTGGACTTAGTTGTCCCTTTATGACATTTAGTCTTTTCCTATTGCTGCATGCCATAAAGACTGAAAACACTTACTCTGGACTCTCGGACTTAAAGCATGAATTTGTACTTTTTTAAAACCTGTCAAGTTTAAGGCTCTTGGTTTTGTGTTGGACTTCATTCTTTCCTGGTGGTAACATGCAATAAGTATCTGGATAAGGAAAAACATATTCATGCACTCAAAATGCATTGCAACTGTAATCCTGTCGAAAGATCCAGACTACTAAGTGAACTTGCTTGGATCTGAGTCAGATCATTTGTGCATCGGTAGAGCTCAGTCACATTCCCAAGAAACATTAATCTGGCCTACCTCTTCCTGCTCCATGTCAG